TGCAAAGGTGCCCGCCTGATGTGCGGCGCTGTGATTGCCTCGCCAAAAAGATTGGCATCAAAGTACATCAGGAAGTTTCCTGCTGAATTGCTCTTCACAGTGGCCAACGAATAGCGCTGAAGGGCCTCAGTACAATTCCCTACGCACAACGCACGTAGGCTGAATGGTACTAAATTCAACTTGACAAGCTTTGGTACTTTTTCAGCACCGATCAGCATTGTCCATCAGCAGGTCAAACATGGCACTTTCTCAGCGCCAATGGCATGTGTTTTTTAACGCGCGAATGACATTGAAACAAGTCACTGTCTGCAACTGGTTCTGTGTAAGGCCCTTCTCAACGATCAAACAGCACTGCTTGGAGATTGTGCGTTCTGCCACTGCCAACCAGCCTTCTTCTACAGACTCCAGCTGGATCCCCTCCTGGTGAATTGTCAAGAGCGGCCCCGAAGATGATGATTCAGCTGCTGGTTTCTGAGGAGTCTGAGCGTCAGCATTTTCTTGCATTTCCTCAGGAGCAGCTTGCTTGGGGCCGGATTCCGTGGTCAAAGCTCCGTCGACCTCTTCGATCAGCGTCTTGTACGGCTGATATTCAGCCAAGACTTCTTCTGCTGTTTTTCCGGCTTTGATGCCATTGCGCACAGACGGCAGCTCAGAGGAGTCGAAGCTGAAGCAATACTCAACCAAGTCCATGACCTTGCTGCAGGAAGGTGGGAGCAACGACAGCCATGTCCGCTCCTTCTCCTGGGTTTTGGTCAAGTGCCACTGAAATCAAATACAAATCAAATCAATGCAAATCAAAGACACATCAAATTCAAAGAATCAATGAAATGTGGTCGCTGAAATTTTGCTCCGGGGTGCAAGATACTCCTCCTGATACGCCTCAACGCTGCCAAAGATTTTGCGGACAGCCTGCTTGCCATCTGAAACAAGATTCTTCTCATCCAGCCAGCGACCGGTCAGGTAGTCCCGCATCTGCTTCTTCATCATGATGACATCAATCATCCCAGATCGGCCAGCCGTGCCTTTCAGCTTTTTGGCGCTCAGGTCTCCAACTTCAATCTGCTCGCTCTTCAGACCAAAGCACGCCAGACTGAAAAAGAACTCCAGCTTTGTGGTCTGCCTGCCACACTTGGCCTGAATATCATTCAATTTGTTGATGGAATTGAATGGCGAAGAGGTGCCATACTGGGATTCTGTCCATTGAATCAATTTCCAAATCTTCTCGTGGGCAAGGACCTTTTCGTATACAACGCAGGCTTTCTGAATGACCGATTCGTCCGACCTGGGCTCTTCGTCTTGCTGGCAGTCGGCCATGCCAGCCTTGTACATCTCAGCAACTTCTGCATTGGACAAATGCCGATTCAGAGCCGCTTCTTTCCGCTTGCGGAATAGCCACACATCACAGCATACTTGGGATGCGAGGTGTACAATGGACCTCGCCGTGTCAGCTGTTCGCCTCCGTCGGTTGACGGAGTGAAAATAGATGTCATCAAAGCCATCCAATTTCATGATGCGGCCTGGTCCACTCAACAACACCTTCTTCCATTGACCGAGCTCCTGCTCATCGGCTCCCTGGCCGATCCTCTCAGCGATGAACCAAACAAGTCCTTGAACGGGTTCTTCTGGGCTGACACGCTGGTACTCGCCGTTCTCTTTCACAATGAAGTCAACAGGTTCAAGCAAAGGTGTGATAGCTCCATTACCCCACTGGTTCCTGGCCGCCTGCTTCAGCGCCTCCACGTTGATCTTGACACTCGGAGTGTTGGAAGCCGTGGGGCTTCCCCACAGGCAGTTGCATCCTCCAGACAGCAGAATAGCTCCACTTTCAGCACTTGCAAGGCGCTTCTGAGCATCTTCCACATTCAAGGGGGCATTCAAAGCCCCAACTGCCAGCGGCATTGCATCTGCAATTTCAAGATCAGCACCGAAATGGCCCCGCAGGGCATCCATGGCCACCTCAAGCTCCAGGTGCCACTCAGCATTTGGATTTCGAAAGTCTGGCATATCTGGACTCGTAGCTGTGCCAGCTCGAGCTTCCTTCGACGCCGCCTTTTTCCCCATTGCAAACAAAGCTCAGATCCTTTTTGGTGCTTCTAGAACCGGAGCTTCGAATCAAACAAGAACATGGCACTTTCTCAGCACCAGCAGAATGATACTTTCTGAGTCCAACAGGATGATTTCAATGCGTGAGCAATGATTGAAAAAACATACTTGTTGTCCAAGGGCACGGCTGACTGCCAAGTCATGAGTTTAGCGACAGCCTAGCACCAACATCCAGCACAACATATTGGTTTTTAAACAAATATCAATTCGTGGACTTGTATGTTGCGCCAGAAACTGAAAGTCATTCAATGTCTGCCACGTTACAGTTTTTGATCTCAAAATCAAGCCAGTAAGGGCATGTTACGCAGAAAATGAAAATCATTCAAAACGTTCCACGTTACAATTCTTGATCCGAAATCAAGCCAGTAAGGGCATGTTACGCGAGAAACTGAAAAACATTCAAAATCTTCCATGTTACAGTTGTTGCTCCCAAATCGAGCCAGCAAGGGCATGTTACGCCAGACACTGAAACAGTTCTTGATCCAAAATCAAGCCAGTAAGGGCATGTTACGCCAGAGACGGAAAATCATTCCAAATCTTCCACGTTACGGCCTTTGATCTAGAAATCACAGCAGTAAGGGCATGTTACGCCATAAACTGAACATTGTTTTTTTATTGTTACGTTTTTGCTTCAAAATCACACCAGTAAGGGCATGTTACGCCAGGAACATCCAGAACATTAAAATGATTGAAAATGTTTCATGTTATGTTTTTTGATCCAAAATCACGCCAGTAAGGGCATGTTACGCCAGAAACTGAAAAACATTCAAAATCTTCCATCTTATGTTTTTCATCCCAAAGTAAAAGCCTGTAAGGGGATGTTGGGCCAGACACTGAAAATCATTCAACATCTTCCACGTTACAGTTGCTGCTCCCAAATCGAGCCAGTAATGGCATGTTACGCGAAACATTGAAAAACATTAAAGCTGTCAGTTTTTGGTCCAAAATCAAACCAGTAGGGGCTCAGAAACATCCAGAAATATAAAATCATTAAATGTTTAACGTTACGTTTTTTGATCCCAAATCAAGCCAGTAAGGGAATGTTACGCCACAAAGTGAAAATTTTTACATTTGCGATGTTACGTTTTTTGATTCAAAATCACACCAGTAAGGGCATGTTACGCCAGAAACATCCAGAAAAAAACACCATTCTAAGTCTTCTACGTTACAGTTTTTGATCCCACAATCAAGCCTGTAAGGGCATGTTACGCCTGCTGCTGTCACTTTTAGCTTAGTGGCTAGTCTAGGTAGCTGCTTATTTAATGGTTTACCAAAGCGAGAAATCAAAATTTTTAACAGCTCACTGGGGGGGGGGGTTTCTCCCCCCCCCCCGCGGCTGGCAGCCAGCATCAACCTGGGGCGTCACTAGCCCCTCAAGAGATGTAGAGCAAACTGGTGGCAAAGCCTGATCAAGCGCTGGAACCTTAGTTTGCTCTACATCTCTTGAGGGGCTAGTGACGCGCCAGATTGATGCTGCTAGCCAGTGGCGGGGGGGGGCAGCGCCCCCCCCGGCAATGGCCTTGCTTTTGAAGACTCGGAAGGCCAGCCCCGCTCGATTAAGCATTTGCCACTTCCAGGGGGTTAGTGACGCACCTCATCGATTAGGCGCGTCACTAACCGCAAAGCCTAATCTAACGGCCCTGGGTTGCGCCGTAACATTTCTCCACATAGTGTGTTTGTAGCTACAAAACGTAACATTGGCAACATGTTACAGTTTCTGATCAAAGATCAATCCAGTAAGGGCATGTTACGCTAGAAACATCCAGAAACTCAAAGCCTTTCAAAGTCTTCTGCGTTACAGTAGTTGATCCCAAACCAAGCCAGTAAGGGCACGTTACGCCAAACGCTGAAAACCTTCCATGTTACGTGTTTTGATCCAAAATCGAACCAGCAAAGGCATGTTACGCCAGAAACCTCCGGTAAAAAAAAATTATACGTCACTGCTTTTGATCCCAAAAACCAAGCCTGTAAGGGCATGTTACGCGAGAAACTGAAAAACATTCAAAATCTTCCATGTTACAGTTGTTGCTCCCAAATCGAGCCAGTAAGGGCATGTTACGCCAGACAGTGAAAACGTTCAAAAAATTTGCACGTTACAGTTCTTGATCCAAAATCAAGCCAGTAAGGGCATGTTACGCCAGAGACGGAAAATCATTCCAAATCTTCCACGTTACGGCCTTTGATCTAGAAATCACAGCAGTAAGGGCACGTTACGCCAGACACTGAAAATCATTCAAAACCTTCCATGTCATGGTTTTTGATTTACACTGAAGACAGTAAGGGCATGTTACGCCAGAGACTGGAAATCATTCAAACTCTTCTATGTTGTGGTGTTTGATTCACACTTAGGCTGTAAGGTAGTCGATTTATCATGCCTTTTATTGCATAACTTTTCTTTTAGATGCCAACATGAGCCAACAGACCCTAAAAGGCAATTTTTGGGGGTGGCCTTTTTAAGCCCTAAAAGCTTCTAAAACAAGTCAAAAAGGCCACCCCTACAAAGTGCCTCTTAGGGTTTGTTGGCCTTTCTTGGTGTATAATTTTTGCCAAGATTTGGACTCAGAAAACTGTTGCAAAGTGATTGCAATGCAAGATACTTATGCAGCAACTGCAATTTAAAAGCTCAGGGCGGCACCAGGTGTCAATGATTGATCAACCTGGTTTATCATCACGAATCTGATATGACGTACATAAATTCAAATGCAGCAAAAACAATGCCAAAGTCAAAAAATCCAGCTGGGTACTTATTCAGCACCCATTTGATTCAAAAAATCCAGCTGGGTACTTATTCAGCACCCATTTGATGGTCAAACATAAAATGCCACATGTGGTACTTCTTCGGTGACAATCCAAATTCAGATTGCAAGCAAGCTCTTTTCACTCGCGCCCATTCATTGTCATCCCTGGCACGATGATTTCTCTGTGTCCATCATGTAGATGAAGTCACGGAACGTCTCTGCCTCAAAGGCATGGGCGATGTCTTGGAACACCACCCTTTCGGATGCATGCACTAAAGCGATGGTGCCAGCAGGAGCTTTCCTGTCACACGCCAACTGCTTTGCCACCGCAAATTCCTCCAAGGTCTCCAGCAGCTTAAAGGTCCGGCACTGCAACCTCTGCAAAAGCTGGAATACTTCAGGGTATTCCGCTCTGAACTTTAGGGCGCAGTGAACCTTTCTGTCTGTTCTCAGACCTCGCTTGAGCTTTAGGCAAGGCCCCTTACCAGCGATCACGAAGCCAGGAGTCGTTAACCATGCCCCAGTGAGCCCCGCTGCAATAGAATGGACCAAAGGCATCTTGCTCAAATCAGAAAGCATGAACACCTGAGCAGAAGCAATGTCCATGACCGTGTCCCAATTCTTTGCATCCATTGCCCTGTCAAGCTCGCGGGTACGAAGCGCATCGTCCACAAACACTTTCAATCCTTCCAGCTCTTCAGGGCGCGGTGCTCGTTGGCAAACTCTTTGCGCCACTCGCTGCTCTGCTTTTTCCCTTTTTTCCATCAACGAGGTCTGGTTCTCAAAGAACTGAATGGCCTCTGGCACAAGCTCAGCAGGAAGCTCATGAATCTGGATGGTGCCACTCCGAAGACACTCGAAAACCCGCTTGAGTTGCTTCTTGGCGTTGAATTGCATCTCCTTGTCATGAGCATCTGTCCAAGCATTTGATGGGCAAGCTGCAACCTTCATTGAAGCGTCAGCAGTCTCACCCTGCAGCAGTGCAGCCGACACTGCATGTCTTCTGCGTTTCTTGAATTCCGTTTCGGTGACCTTTTCAGGGGTCATGGCTCCGGCATCATCATCTCCTCCAAGCTGCCTGGCCAGCTTCTGACGTGTGACCCCCTTGTCAAATCTGGGTTTGCACCTTTTCCGGGAGTCTGCATAGAGCTCTGACCAGACGGTCCTGGAAATTGAGATGACTTCTTGGTCATGTGAAGGATCTGAAACCGCAAGCATGACAAGCTCGTTCTCCACCAGGGCTTCACATTGGAGGCGGTTCTCTCGAAGGACATCCTTCACCTTCGAAAAATTGCGTTCGATCACACTGTCAGTGGCTGAAATCGTGGCATAGTGCGCCAATGCGATTTGTAGGTGCTCGGCAGGGTGGCGCATTCTGGCCGCGGTGCTTGATGTTTTTCCCAAGGCTACTTGCCAGCATTCAAGGTTCGAGGCTGTCTTGCCACTGGCAAGCCAATGAGCATAGGCGATTTGACCCAGATCGAAATACTCATCTTTCAATTGACTCATGTCCTCCATGTCTAACAAGCTCCAAGCTAGCCTGGTCAGCTGTTCATCAAATCGCTGGCTGCAACCCTGCTTTTGGATCTCAGAAGCTGTCTGCTTGGGGAAATTTGGCATGTCGAAGATCGAAAAGCATTGGACCAACTCAAAGCTTGGGTGCTCTGCCCTGACGACTTCCTCTGCCAGATTCGCCCATGCAAGCATCCTTGACAAGCACTGGCTGCGAATCTCTTTTGACACTCCATTGGGTCCACCGATGCATCTCACCACACCGTCCACGACAAAGTGCGTCGGGGATTCCAGAAAGGACAAAGTCGCCAGCGTGTACCCTGACGTTGTCCAGATATGTTGCCTTATGGTTTGAGAAGGGTTGACCAGTAAATATGAACAAAACATTTGCCCCAGGGACCCAATGACTTCAGCTATAAAAAACATCTAGTTGTTCCAGGATACGTCCTCTCTCACAGCAAAACTTGCTGGCCCAAGTCACTCCTTGAAGAGAAATGCAAGCCGACTCAAAAAGTCAGAGATGGCAGATGCGATTTGAGCGTTGTCCACTGTGCTCTGATCAAAAAATCTGATCAAAATCAAGCACTCATCGCAGGCATCTGCAAGGAGCGCTGCCTGCAACAGCATTTCTTCGTCTAGAGTCTGCAGGAGGGAGCGGGCGAAAGCGCCAGCAGGCGTCCCTTGTCTTTCAACTTCCACCCGAAGCAAAAACGCCACCACAGCCCCCCAGTCCAACGTCATCCGTGCTAAGGGGCTGGTGAGACTTTCGTACCGGTGTTTGGCAGCTCTCAAATGGCTAAAATTGGTGCTGACCGCTTTTGACGTGGAAGCTTTGCAGCACTGCTCGTAGATAACCCGGAGAGGATCCGAGGTCTGAATCCTTTGCGCCAGAGAGCCACTCTCGCTCACAAGCACGCCGGCGATAGTGGAGAGATAGACATCAGCAGCCCAAGGCCTTTCCAGAATCCGCCTGCTTCCGTGAGCCTTGTCTCTCACGATTGTGCGCAGGGAAGGGGCTACAGCCTCGCCAAAAATGGTAGCTGTTGATGATTTCCCTGATTGCATGTTAAACCCACTGGCCACTTCATTCTCAGCTGCATCCGCAGTCAAGGAGTGGATGTGATGGCGTATGCGTTGAAGCAACTCGGAATCAAGCTCTGCAACTGAAGGGTCTGCATTTGGCGCCCCGTGGTTTTTGGTGCAAAGGTTACGAAGGAGATCGACAGTGACTTCTGTGATCCTTGTAGCAGTGCCTGGATGCACCTTTCCCTGCCCAACTACCCCAATGAACCGCTTTGCGCCCAATGTAGCACACTGGAATCGCACCAGCAGCCGTGAGTGACGCTCGTCCCTCAACAGGTTGATGGTCTCCGCTTCTGCAAGCCAGCTGCGATAAAGCCTCCTGAGGGCCTCAGCCAGGGCAAAGCACATGCGCCTTGATTTTTGAAAATGGCCGACGCCTTCCACTCCATTTCGTAAGGCGCCACCCTTCCGTATGTAGGCCAGCAGCGTTCGAAAAGCTTCTGCGTCAGGCGCGCCCTCCAACCGTAAAGGCTGTTTCTGAGAGACTTGAAGAGAACCTTCAAGCAAGCGCAGCACTGCTGCAACATGTGCTGAACTTTGAGCATGGGCCTGCATCCTGTATGGCTTAAAGCCTTCAAGCGTCTTGACTTCAAAGCGCCCCCATATGTCCAAATCACAATTGGGCAAGGCATGTGAGCAAACTGCACAGCCCACTGTGAAGACACCAACATCATCTTGCTGGGATGCTAGCCAGCTCTCTGAGCCTAAAGAATCCATATGCTTTCGCACAGCCTCGGACGAAAGCTGATTAATGACCTGCTCCGTCAAAATGGGAAATTTGGAGCGGTCTGTTCTTTGGTAGCGCTTGCAGGGACACCGCGCGCCACACGAATGCTCACCCAACGCATCCATAGTAGGGCACGGTCCAAACACAGGACGAATCAGTCAACAAGTTGTTCGTGCAGGAACCCCAACTCTTGCAAACTGTTGGGTTAGGATGGCTTAGGTGTCAACATTTGTCATGTCAACATATGTAGGTTTCTCGTCATGGCTTGGTGTCCTTGAAACGGCAGCGGTGCATTGATGGGAAAATGAGCAAAGCCATATCACGTCAGACCGCACTCTTCTGAATCACACTCGCAAGGCGACCAGCACTTTCTTCAACGAAAATGGTTCTTAGGGTGATACACAGCAGCCTTTACCTTCAAGGCTTGGAACTCAGACTGGGTGATGTACCCGGATGATAAGAGAAGGGGCGGTAACAAGTGCATCAGGATGTTCAGCGACATTGCGTTGCCAATCAACCCACCGAATTGCGCCTCACTCAAGTGCAACTCAGTCCATGGCAAGAACCCTGTCCAAAACCCTTGAAGACGGGCCATCTCATCTAGATCTAGGAAGCCGCCTTTAGTGGTGCACCAGTATCCTCCCCGCGCAGCCTCTGTTTTTGTGATGGTCATGATCATCCCCACCATCTTGTTGCACCGGCTCTTGCTTGCCCCGCTTGCAATGACCACCGGAGAAGAAAATGGATTCAAGCCACTTTCCACACAGGCCTCCAACTGCGCTGTAACATTGGCAAGCCGAGTGGTTCCGCCACGAGGTCCTAGACCTGGAAGCAATTCGAAAGCCTCACCACTCAAAGGCTCAATGAAACTGGAAAGCGTCGGCATTGGGATGGGCTCGGGAAACACAAACTCGCTCTGGGGATTGAGAATGCCAACCAAATACAGCCTGACCCTCGACTGGGGCAAGCCATAATCACAAGATCGCAGGCATTGCATGTGCAATGTGTACCCAGCCCCTTGCAATTCTGCCAAGATCAGCTGCATGAAATCCTCCGAATCCGTAATATCAGGCACCTGTTCCATGATAAGCATCTTGGGCTTGTGGCGCACAACATATGCCACAGAGTAGAGAGCCAGCTGCCCCAACTCACAATGATCTCTAGCGCGCTTGCCGCTCTTGCTGTAGGATTGGCACGGCGGACCAAAAGTATATAGATCCACCGTCTCAGCTTCAGCCAGCGAGCGAGATCTGATGTCTGTGAAGATTTTTTGGGGGGAAAGATGGGTGAGAACCTTCTGGCTGGCCGAATCAGAATCGCAAGCGAAGCGATGGGTAAACGGAATTCCCAAATAGCGCAATGCCCAAACTGCTGTGTCTAATCCAGAAAAATCTGAACCCACATGAACTTCTCGCATCGGAGCAAGATCAAAAGCTAAAGGCGTCACGGCCCGTCAGCTTGAGCGGAAAAAATCCGATGGGTATATAATTGCTATGGCTAAAACTCTAAATCCTTAATGCGACATAAGCCCCCCTCCAACAACTTGGCTCACCTGCTGCTAGGCAAGCAGGCAATATTTCAACCTGGGACGCGCAAACAGTGGCAATTGTTCTGGTACTTTTTCAGCACCAGCAGCAACTTTTGATTCAATCTTGTAAATGTTCAGAACCAAGTCAGCAAACACATAACTCCCTCAGTTCTTTTCACCAAGCCCCCCTGGTGTCACTGTGTCTGTACATGTTCTTCTGCGTCGTCGGTTTGCTACTGCCTTTCCAAAATGGCTTGCCTAGTGCCGTCAGAATCAGAAGACATCACCGAAATGTGGTCATCGAGAGATATGTCTGCACCATCGCTGTCATCATCCAAGGGCTCCTCGCTGCTGTTGCTGGGGGTATAGCGGTCGGGAAGATAAATGGCTCGGGGTTGGTTCGCCGGAATGATGAACTTCCTCAACGCCAGCCGTGGATTTGTTTTCTGCTCACGATCATGTCTGTCATCGCTGGCTGCATCACTCATTGCCAAGTCAGAATTGGAACCCCCCCTGTCTGCAGTAGCAGTGCTGCTTTCCTCAGACTCCTCCATTGAAGCTGTTGAGTCTTCTTCGTAATCTGGATCTGCCAAATGATCCGATTTCTTGCTATCAAGGGATCCATCGTCATCATCATCGGACAAGCCCAAGTGCTGGGCAATGCGGGACCACACTTGACCTTTCGTCCCACGAACGATGAGGCCATGCCTTTTCGCCACCACCCGCAGCACGTGCACACTCAAGCTTTTGCTAATGGGAGGTAGTGCTTCTTCCGGATTTGGCTCTGATTTGACCTTGCTGCAAGCAGCAGCCTCATCATGCTCACCATTGGTGGACGAGTTCAGGTGATCAGCAATGCGGGAACAAAGCTCATCTTTAGTGCCCTGGGAGAGTAGGCCATGGTTTCTCGCCACACGTCGCAAGAGCTTCACGCCCATCCCGTGATAAATGGTTTGGGGTTCATCCGAATCTCTACCACGCTTTGCGACAGTGGCCGGCATGACTAAACTTTTCTCAACTTCCTGATTCCTGACCTGAACCAAACTGCCAAAATAAACAACATTAGCGCATTAAAGTTTGAAGCTTTCTTTGAAAAAATACACATTATTCGACAACTGGACAACTTAGACACTATATACATTGAAAACCAATCGTCAGAGCAAGTCGGGTAAGTCAATGGACCTTGAAGGCACTTCCTCAGAACCTGTTTCAACATACATTGACTTACAGTACTAGTTCTGACGATTGATTTTCAAAGGTACTTGTTCAGCACCTTGTTCGTTTGCGGCCTGCGGGAGTCCGCCTTCCCGGGCAAAAGGCGGACTCCCGCCCGAACGCCAGGCCACAGCACGACACGAGCACGACATGCATGAGGACGAGGCCCCGACGGACGGTGGGGCTCCTCAGAGACCAGCGAGCCAGCGAACGCCTCAGCGAGCAGTCATTCAGTCATAATGTTATGTTCATTCAGTCAAGTGACCCCAATCAACTACATTGCGTTGTCTTTCTTCTTGTCGTTTCAACTTGAGTCCATCGAATGCTGGCTCTGAGCAAGTGCCACGCATTTCAATGGACTCAAGTTCGATTTACATACTTCTTCCAACCCAATAATTTGAGTCCATCGAACGCTGGCTCTGAGCAAGTGCCACGTATTTCAATGGACTCAAATACATTGTCTTTTCAAAACACATTACTCTACAATGTTGTTTGCGCGCGCTCGCTTCAAATGATCGGAAAGTCGATCGCAAGACCAGGGGCTCAAATTTAGAACGAACGCAAAGAAGAACTCAAGAAAGCATGCAAAAGCACTCAACATGTCAAGCAAGAGAAAGAAAGAAAAAGACTGCCATAGCGCCCAGACACACTCAGATCAGATCAGACACACTCACTCAGACCACATAGCATGCAGACAGACACACTCAGACCATGCAGCCCCTGGCCCCCTGCCAGACAGAGACTCGGACTCATTCACTACGAACAAGAATGTTCCCAGCAGTCCAAATCGTCAACTTCACTCCAAGATGTTTCACATCATCATCATCAACAACATCATCACCACAATCACCATCATCATCAGCACCAACATCATAATCACCAACATCATCACCACAATCACCATCATCATCAGCACCAACATCATAATCACCAACATCATCACCACAATCACCAACATCATCACCACAATCACCATCATCATCTCATCAGCACCATCCATCACCATCATAATCACCATGACCATCACCATCATCATCACCATCATAACTATAAAAAACCACATCCTGACAGTTGCCTGCCGACGCGCGCGCCGCCCTCATGCATGGCGTCGATGCTTGAATCGAAGCCCAAAGCCTCTGGCCTTCATCCACCAAAAGCTCGGCCCCTACAGCCAGATCCAGCAAAAGCTCGGCCCCTACAGCCAGCAGCAGCAGCACAGCCAGATCCACCAAAAGCTCGGCCCCTACAGCCAGCAGTGCCAGGACCTCGACCTCCGGTCGCTCCTTTCCCTCCCGACCCACCAAAAGCTCGGCCCCTACAGCCAGCAGCAGTGCCAGGACCTCCGGTCACTCCTTTCCCTCCCGACCAACCACAGCCGCCGCCGCCACCTGATGATACACCACAGCCACGTGGAACCGTCGCGCGGGCATTCCAGAACGCATCGGCAAACACATCGGCAGCGCGGCAGCCCCCAATGACGACAGCATCGCGGCAGCCCCCAATGACGACACCATCCCGATCCAGCCCAGCCTCAGGATCAGTGGCGGCAGCGTCGCCGTTGGCTCCAGGAAGAGTGCCTCCTGGCGCAACAGGTCAAGAAGAAGGCGGCGACACGGCAAAGGCAAAGCGCGGTCGCCACGCCACGCCAGCTCAGGAAAGGAGAGAAGAGATGCACTGGCTGAAGAAGACGTGTGAGGAGCAGATGAAGGAGATCCGAACTCTTCGAGAGGAGATCGGCAAGAAGAACGGCCAGATGACCGAGCTGCAGGCGGCGCTGCCGGAACTCCATGCTCTTCGAGAACAGGTGGTTTTGCTCAAGAAGGCGTGACTTGTTTCGTGCATGACAGTGACAGTTCAACCTTACTAGAAACAAGTTGCGAAGCGCTTGAACTTGAACAGCGTCATTGTCAGGGAGTCCACCAGCTGTCAGAGGCTTTCCAGCTGCAAGCGGAGGCCAGATCTTCACCGTTTGTTTCACAAAATGGCGAGGCCGTTTGTTGCAGATTGTTCAGAACCATCTCACTCTAATTCTTCAATTTGTTTGTTTGACAAGATTGCTGAAGCTTCACTGACATTCTCGTTGTCCTGGCAGGGCTTCCTCGAGCTGAGAGATTTGTTCAAGGCTGTGTTCAGTGTATTTTCTGTTTTGCTTGCCTGTTTTATGTTCTTTCTGGTGCTGAACAAGTACCATAAAGAACATAGAAATGCTTTGTTTTGCTTGCGTGTTCTATTTTCTTTCTGGTGCTGAACAAGTACCATAAAGAACATAGAAATGTCATGTTTTGTTTGCATGTGTCTACTTTCTTTCTGGTGCTGAACAAGTACCATAAAGAACATAGAAATGTACTGTTTTGCTTGCGTGTTATATTTTCTTTTTGGTGCTGAACAAGTACCATAAAGAACATAGAACATACAAGCAAAACAGGACAAGTACCAGTAAAGAAGTGAAAGAACGCATGTCCTGTGAGGCAAAGGAAGCCGCAAAGCAACAGCGCATGGAAGAAGTGAAGGCTGCGAAGGAGGCCCATGAATTTCTTTAACTTTCAACTTATGGCAGTGCTTGTAGAGATACTATCAACTATGCATCCTTGCAATCATTTGGGTGTGAAAGAACCACTGTCCTGTGAGGCCAAGCAAGCCGCCAAGCAACAGCGCATGGAAGAAGTGAAGGCTGCGAAGGAGGCCCATGAATTTCTTTAACTTTCAACTTATGGCAGTTTTTGTAGAGATACTATCAACTATGCATCCTTGCAATCATTTTGGTGTGTTTATTGTTTGCCTTGCCGTCTCGTGTCTTGAGGCCCGAAAAGCCAAAGCGGAGGAGGCGAAGCAGGCCAAGGAGTCACCTCCGGAGTCATCGAAGAAGAGAAAGGCCGACGCCGTGGAGAAGGAATCGGAAGCGGCAGCATTGGCCAAGAAGAAGGGAGCGGCAGCCAAGGCAAGACGTTCAAAGGCGCAGAAATCCTCATCATCAAGTTCCTCCCGCACATCGCCGGCTGACGTTGCGAGGGCCGACGACGAGTGATCGAAAAATAGGGGCGTGTGCCCGAATGCATGCATCAACATCCCACTGTGTGCACTGTGTAAATTCAGCAACTGCATCATGCCACGTTGACGCTGTGGCTCTCTAAGGTTCCAACCTCTTTGACAACCAGATGTTCGCCATGGCCTCAACATTGCAAGGTGCTGAACAAGTACCTTTTGCATCGCAGGATCAACGTGGTGAATTTGTTCAATTCGAAGTGACTAACATGGGTGCTCTGTGCAGCGCTGCGACATGTTGATCACTTAGAAATGAACGACCTTGATTTTTCCTCAAACCTCATCCAAAGTGTGGTTCCTGACATTTTCATTGTCCTGGCAGGGCTTGCTCGAGCTGAGAGATCTGTTCAAGGCTGTGCTCAGTGTATTTTCTGTTTTGCTTGCCTGTTTTATGTTCTTTCTGGTGCTGAACAAGTACCATAAAGAACATAGAAATGTCCTGTTTTGCTTGCGTGTTCTATGTTCTTTCTGGCGCTGAACAAGTACCAGAAAGAATGTAGATGTCCTGCTTGCGTGTTCTATGTTCTTTCTGGCGCTGAACAAGTACATAGTGTCCTGCTTGCGTTTCGATTCGCCCTTACCCTCGATTTTTGCCAAGGAGCCTCAGACGTTGCTGATTCGAAGTGATGAGC